GACAGAGTCATCAAAATCTGTTTTTTCAGAGCCCTGGACATTAACTGAAGGATTACTGCAATCTGAAGGGCTTTTGTTTAAGAAAAAACCATGTGCGCACCATTCACACCTGCTCTATACACAGCAAACAAAACTCGGACACACAACAGCCAGGCGAAGCCAGACATGAGAGCCCTTATAGGAAATCCCAAAAGGCAAATCTGAGAGACAGGAAGTGGACTAATGGTTTCCTGGGGTGGAGGTAGGGAGGAATGGGCACTGGCTGTGGAAGGCATGAGAGGTCTTACAGGGTGGTGAAAATGCCTGGAAACTGATCTATGGTGACAGTTACACTGCCTGGCAAATTTACTAAAATTATTGAATCACACATGAACAGAATGGACTGTATGTTACATAAAAGATAGCTCAATAAAGCTGCTTTTTAAAAAGCTAAGCATCATCTTTACCAGCCCCTCAGTGCTGGACACCAACATAATCAAACTTTAGTACACACCACGGGATCTCAGCCAGGCCTCTTGAAAAGCTACATCGCAGGAGTAAGGAAAAACTAATAAAGACATAAATGTAGACTGATACCAATCCTTGCCTGAAAAAGGTGATCTTTCCCTGTACTCAGTGACAACCAAAATAGCATTAAATCCTATAAAAAGGCAGATTATACTGAACAGAACTTCCACATCTTCCACACATGATGTCCATCATTTATCAAAAAAGACCAGGCAAGGCAAGGGATTTAGCTTAGCGGCACCACACCTACCTTGCAAGCACAAGGTCCTAAGTTTGATCCCTGGTACCAAAAAATAAATGACCAGGCAGACCAAGAGCTGGGACCATATACTTATGTGGAAAAAAAACAAATGCGGTGGACCCTTATAACTCAATTCATTCACGAGGGCTGGTTGTAACTCAAGTTGGTCAATTGAAGGCTCAGGCTCCTCTACACAGCCTTCGAATTTTCTCTCCTGTACACAGGTAGATCTCACTGTCCTTAGAGAGACACTGGCCCAGGATTAGCCCCACACAGGGAAGGATGTTGTAATGTTCCTTCCAGAACGCTTTAAGGCTTAACTCCATATCTCAGACCATCTGGAAGCACAAGCATTCGGGTTGTAACTCAAGACTTTGGTGGTAAGTTAAAACTAAAATTCCAGACATAATCTAAGTTGTTCGAATGTCAGGCCAGTCTTAACTTGAGGATCCACTGTAATAGCAATAGAAATTATAACCCCAGCTCAGCACAGGCTGTACCATTCTGCTGCCCAGGACCCTGAGTGCTGATTGCTTGCTCAGGGCATACAGTGGAGACAGGAAATGGTCACAAAGTCTTTGCAGCATTCATGATCCAGAGCTAGGATCTATTTCTCCATGCCTGGATCCTGGTCTACCTTCTAATCGATTTGCCTTGACCGACAAAATGTGGCAAACCAACATGGCATGTTTCTGAACCCAGATTTCAAGACTCTCGGCAGCTTTGGTTCTCACCCTATTGGAACACTGATGCCCACTAAATGTCCAGGTTGGCCTTCCAACGAGGTCACGTGAAGGAGAGCCAAGTGCCTGGCAAGCAGCCTGCTCACAACATCTTAGGTCATCTCACCTCTCCAGCGCTGATGGCTGCCACATAATGCAACTGGGGCAGCTAGCAGAGGACTGGCCACTGAGCCAGCCCAGTCTCCACACCCTTGGAAAGAGCAAATGAAAGGGAGGTTGTTTAAAGCCACGACAGTGGGGTGGCTTGTTGCAGAGAAACAGAGAAGCCCTTCACAGGCCAGGGGAGATGGTAATGGGGCTGCTAGTGGTGGATGGTGAAGGCACAGTGATGGACTTGCTTGACGATGGAGGAGGTAGTGGTGGTTATGCTGGTGACGGAAGACGGAGGTGATGTGGTGACAGTGATGGCCGTGGTGATGATGGTGATGGCCGTGATTGTGGTGCGATGACAGTGGTAGTGATAACTCTGTTCCCTCTAAGTTATCGTAGAAAGATTTAATCTTGTTTGATGTGGTTTTTGTATGTTTTGTTGTTTGAGGTCTTTAAAAATACATAATCTCTTTGAGAGTCCACTTAAACCTGGCCCCTTCCCAGGAAAATGAACATGGACAATCTTTTCTCAGCTTTGGAGCGAGGCACCCTGCCCTCCGGGTGGGCCCTCTGTGAGGAGCCTTGAATGAGCTTCCTGACATGCTCACAGCCCAGAGGCAACGCCAGAGAACTCATGTGCATGGCCTTCCTGTGCCAGCACAGAGCCAAGCTGCAGGACAGCGAGTGACCCTTCAATTCAGCACAGCACAGCTGGTGAAGAAGGAGCTTTTGCTGGGGTGTAAATATTTTGAGGTACTTGTAAGTCTGAATGCATATAGTTTAGATGCCCTCAGTGGTGGTGGAGGGAAATAAACATCACCAAACCACCAGAGCAAAGGTAGAAGCCATGGAAGGTTTTTCTCTTTTCTCTGTCTACCTCTTTGTGGGTGGGTGGCCTCCCCGGTGATGCAGGGATCCCCAGCTCAGACATGAGTGGAGCTCTCTGGGCACCACCCTGGGGGACCACCATCACCAGGCTGGCTTCCCTTCCTGAGAAACGACCTCGACTCCAAGGGCTGTTACACAGCTGGGTTTTGCCCCATCCTTGCTGAGCACTTATGGCACCTCCTACCCAGCCGCATGGGAGACCACTGCTCCTGTGTCCTTGCCCCACCTGGTCCACACACGACTGGACTGTGGTCCCAGATTCCACTAGAAATGTCAACAACTGTCCACACAAAGGCCTCGTGGTGCTCCACGCTTGTTGGGCAAAAAGACAAAAATACAAGTGCTCAACAATCCAAAAACCTAGTAAGGTGACTAGGAATAGCAGGCCAGTGTCAGTTTAAACACAAATCCCCCAGCTTGACACCAGTGCAGAACACCAGAGCCATGACACAGTCTGACTCAAAGGTTCTGCCACGATTTCATTTTTCTGAGTTGTCCCTGAAGAAAATCGGGTACTCTGGAGCTGACGAGAATCATTCATCTGCCAACTCCTCAGGTGAGCCAAGGGGACTCTGGAGAAACATCTTCCAAAACATCCTCGGCATCACCAAGCACAAAGCCACAAACAGCTCCTGACACCCAGAGTGACCCCACAGGATATTGTGAGCCGAGCCACAAGGGCTCTCCATGGAGACCCAGGCCCCCTGGTCCTGTAGACTGGCCAGCACACACCAATAGCCCCGGTACAGAGAGCTCTTCCTCCCGTGGCACACGCGTCACACAGGTCCTGCCAGTCTTCCTGGCACCAAAGTATGTCCATTCTGCACCACCAACAGGATGAAAGCCAGAGAAACGGGCCACCCCATGAGCCTGCAGCCAACCTTGCAGGGCCCTTCATGGTGCCCAGAAGGGACCATGGCCACAGAGCAGCCTGCAGGGCTGTCCCTGGTGGAGGAGCTGGGAGACCTGCAGCCTGGAATTAGGGGTCTGGAAGAGGTGATGAACCCAGGCCTGAGCCACCTGCAGGCTGGGCCACCCCAGGATAGAGTCCCCACCCTGAGGCAGGAAGCTGAAAGTTTGGGTCTCCCCGGAGCCCCAGGAGCATGCAGGATTTCATGAAGAGCAGGGTGCCTGGCACCATTACTGTGGCGTGAGGTCAGTCACATGCCTCACAGACCCCGAGGACCACGAGGACAGGACACACAGTAGAGAGCAGGGCACTTCCTGCCCCACTCTACCTGAGCCACAGTTCAGCTCAGTCCTCCCAGGGGTGGATGTATTTTGATCTCAGAAGTAGGGGCACCACAAAGCAGTCTTTACCTTGAGGGGAGGCCCTGGCACAGCCTGATCCTCGGACCCCTGGAAATCTCCCAGAGGTCCACTCCTGGGTCCCCACAGGCTTCATCTCCCACCCACTGAGCAGAGGCTCAGCGCTTGACACATGCTCACACCTCCTCCCACAGTGCCACCACTGCAGGGAGGAGCAGTGACCCCCTATGGGGGTCAGGTGGTCCCCAACTCTCCAGACCACATTGGCGCAGAGTAGAGAGTCGCCAGGACCCAGGCGCTGTCCCAGGCCTCCACAGAGGCCCAGGTATCCCTCTCACATCAGCTCCTTTTCTAAGTGGATGGCACAGGGTGCTATGGCCATGGCCGGTCAATGCCTTAGTAGTCTGCTATGAAGATGAGGCCACACGCTGCCCGGCAGGTGCCACTGGAGTGACACTGCCAGTCTACAGGGCCCATGATCTCCAGGAGGCCAGGTCAGGAGGCTGAACAGGCATGGTGGTTACCACCCAGATCCTGCGGTCTTTTCTGGGGCACTGTCTTCCCAGGATACAGCAGGTCTGCACTGTGGCCTGAGAGCCTCTGGTAGTTCGGCAGAGGAGAAACTCAGGGTGTGGCACTGGAGGACGGCAATGGGACCTTTAGACGTGGACCTAGTGGAAGGGACTGGGGAGGTCTCCCAGGACCCTTAGCTCTTGAAGAGGAGCCCAACTCTGCATGGCTGTCTGACCTCTCTCCTGGAGATGTGCTCCGATGTGTTCCAGGCCTTGTGACACCTTCCCACCAACCAGAGGCCAAAGCAATGGGGCCTCCCAGTCCTGGACTTTCAGCCTCCCGAATTGGAGCTGACAAACCTCTTTTCCTCATGAAGTACTGGCTCAGACACAGAGGCTCCCCTGTCACACATAGCGTTCATGCACCCACACGTAGCACACACTCAGGAGACTCCCGTTTGCCATTCTCACCCCCCTCCCTACCAGGCCCTGGCTCGAGGCAATGCGATCCCCTGGGAAGGCCACTGGGGCAGGGGACAGTGCCACCCGGTGCTGTGGTGACATTTCCCCTTCCACTGGGGTCACGGATGCCCGGTGGACTGCACTCTCGGCCAGCTTAGTATGCAGCCAGGAGAGAGGACACCAGAGAAGAGGCCTCTGTGGGCAGCTGCAGGAAGGACTGGGGACCAAGGCACCCACCGCAGGGCCAGTTCCAGACACCACCAGCGGGGGCGCTGAAGCAGAGATCAGCAGTTGCGGAGCTGGGTCCCAGTTTCTGGGCAGGCTCCTGGGTGGACGTGCCAGCTGGCCGCCTCTGGCTCTGCCGGGTGCATGCTGGGCCCGGGGCCCCAAGCCACCTGTGAGGTTCTTGCAGAAAGGGGGTCACAACGAGGGACTCCCAGGCCCTGGCTGCCTTGCCTCCCAGGTGGCCTCCAGGACACACTTCTGTTCCGGCTGAGGAACCAGGGGTAAGTGGTCGGGTGACCGGCGTGCGGACTCCCTCCTCACCCTGCACTAGCGAGGTAGGGGCACAGCCAAGTCGGGAGGGACAGGGGCGGGACCCCGTTTTCAGACAGGACAGACTTGGGTTCTGGGACTCCGTCCCCTCCCGCCCCAGCC